CAAGTGAAGGGGTGCAAAACAATGCAATCATGTAGGCACGAGACAACGTGGATGGAACATGCAAAACAGCGCAAGATAGACATATGCGAAATAACATAAATAAAACATGCGAGACAACGCAGGTCATAGAAATGCGAAACAACGCAAATAAAACATGTAAAACATGCGTGATAGCGTAAGTTAAAGAAGTAAAACATGCGATACAGCGCACATTAAGGAAGTAAAACATACATAACAGCGCAGGTTTAAACAATAAAACATGCATAATAGCGCAGGTTAAGAAGGTAAGACATGCGTAACAGCGCATATTAAGAAAGTAAAACATGCGTAACAACGCAGGTTAAACAATAAAACATACGGTACAGTGCACATTAAAGAAGTAAAACATGTGTAACAGCGCAGGTTAGACACGCGTAACAACGCAAGTAAAAAAGAAGACATGCGTAACAGCGCAAGTAAAAGAAGAGGACATGCGTAACAGCGCAAGTAAAGCAAGTAAAGCATGCGTAACAGCGCAAATGGAAGAAATGAAACACACGTGACAACGCAAGTTAAAGATATGACATGCAAGACAACATAGGTTAAACCAGTAAAACATGCATGACAGCGCAAGTAGGAGAAATAAAACATTCGTAACAGCGCAGGCTAAAGAGATAAACATACATAGCAGTGCAGGTTAAAAGAAGAAGAGCATGCATAACAGCGCAAGTAGAGCATGCGTAACAGCGCAAGTAAAGAAGTAGACATGCGTAACAGCGCAAGTAAAGCAGATAAGTAAGTGCGTAACAACGCACATAACCTGCCTAACAGCGCAAGTTAGAGAAAAGAAGTGCGTAACAGCGCACATAACCTGCGTAACAGTGCAAGTTAAGATGATGAGTGCGTAACAGTGCAAGTTATAGAAAAGAAGTGCGTAACAGCACACATAACCTGCGTAACAGCACAAGTTAAGATAAAAAGTGCGTAACAGCACACATAACCTACGTAACAGTGCAAGCTAAAATAATGAGTGCGTAACAGCGCACATAACCTGCGTAACAGTGCAAGTTAAGATAATGAGTGCGTAACGGTGCACATAACCTGCGTAACAGCGCAAGTTAAGATAAGAAGTGCGTAACAGCACACATAACCTGCGTAACAGCGCAAGCTAAAATAATGAGTGCGTAACAGTGCACATAACCTGCGTAATAGCGCAAGTTAAGATAATGAGTGCGTAACAGCGCACGTAACCTGCGTAACAGCGCAAGTTAAGATAAGGGTGCGAAACAACGCGATTAACAAGTGTAACAACGCAAGTTAATAAGGGGTAATGCGAGATGCAAAACAATGCAAGTTTAGATGAGATACAAAACAATGCAGGTTTAATGAGATGCAAAACAATGCAGGTTTGATGAGATGCAAAACAATGCAGGTTTAATGAGATGCAAAACAATGCAGGTTTAATGAGATGCAAAACAATGCAACTATAAACTAGATGCAAAACAATGCATGTGTAAATGAGATGCAAAACAATGCAACTATAAACTAGATGCAAAACAATGCATGTGTAAATGAGATGGAAAACAATGCAGGTTTAATGAGATGCAAAACAATGCAAATATAACTAAATACGAGGCAACGCAAGTATAACTAGATGCAAGGCAAATATAACTAGATACAAGACAATGCAAATGTGAACTAGATGCAAGATAATGCAAATATAAACTAGATGCAAAACAATGCAAATATATCTGGAATGGGTGTTTGATATGACAAGCGAATGTTAGGTGATAACAGTCAAAAGAATGCCTAATAAAGACATCTTGGAAGGGGACTTCCGGTTTACCTCCCGGAAGGTTTAGGATGCATCAAAAGGATACACCTCGTACGCATTGATGGGCGACGACCATCGTACATTGAGGATACGATTTTCGGGTTTCCACGGAGGCATTTTGAATCAAGTTTTGTGCATTCCTCGGGATTTTTGGAACCCAGGGATAAATACCTCGATCAGATAGGTAGAAGAAGCTGGTGGAGGACTTCTGGCCATCAAGGAGAGCTGCCGCCGGCCATTGGTGGCTACTGCTGGCCATCGATGAAGGACCGCCGGCCATCGATGTGCCCCTGCCAGCCATCGGTGGCAGATTCGGGCAAAACAGTCTTTTGGGCCGTGGGTCTTTAAATAGGCTCAAAATCAACCTATTTCCTCACAATCCCTTGCATAGAAAGCATTTTCCTTGCCCTCTAGGTGTGCCTTCTCTCTAGATTCGCGCATTCTACGCGTTTTCCAACACCCTAAACAATCTTGAATTGTTAAAACCTCTTGGTGTTCTTCGATTTGAACCGATCAAAACTTGAATCTAAGGTGTCTGTCATCATTTCCCCCATTCGAGGATCATTTCCCTCGGATTCCTTTCGAGGTTAGTTCACTTTTCGCGGGCTTTCAACTTTCCTTGAATTTTCTCTCTCTTAGGGTTTGGTTTGTTCAAAACTCCACCATTTTGCTCATTTTTGCTCGTTTTTGCATCTATCTCAGATGGTTGACAATGTTCCGCACGATGAGGGCTTCCCTGCACTCCCTCCAGTGGAGTTGGCGGCAGACTTTGCGGCTGAGCCAGAGGTCGAGCCTCAGCCGTTACCATTGAGCATTCGTCCCTTCGACCCTGCGCGGTATCATCCTGAGACTCATATCATATCGGTGGCGGAAGGCATTAACACCTTCACTGATTTTGATGAGGGCGCATCAGACGACCTCTTTCTGAGAGAGCCGATGTCTCACTTGTCGGCCATTGCTGTGAAGGTACCAACTCTCCCTTTCTGCAGTATTATTTTCAACTATTTGCATTTCTTGCACTGTTCCAATCTGATCGCATTACATTCTTTGAACTAACTGTATTTCATACATTGTCGCTCTGTATTTAACTGTACTTCACACATCATTGCCCTGTATGTAGTGTGTATGACCGCACCTCGTGCGTCACTGCCCGGAATTCAACTGCATCTTCGATACACCACTGATTTGAATTCAATTGTATTTTCAATACATCACTGATCTGATCTGAACTGCATTTTCAATACACTACTGATCTGACTTGAACTGCATTTTCAATACACTGCTGGTTTGACTTGAACTGCATTTTCAATACACTGCTGGTCTGACTTGAACTGCATTTACTGTTGCAGGATGGATCCCGCTCCTTCAGGGGTTATGGTGCTACGACCGCTTGGGATTGGTACAATGTGCTTCCCTCAAGGGTCCGTCGGATCATCGACGGGACCGGCTTTGGCATATTTTGCTGCAGCTTGACGCGGGTCACATCGAGTCGCCCTCTCCTAGGGGCTCTTGTGGAGAGGTGGTGGGACACTACCAACTCTTTCCACTTCTCCACTGCGGGAGAGATGACGATGACTCCTTTCGACTTCGCGATGATCACCAGCCTGGGCGTAGGAGGTGATCCGATTCCCCTTGATCTCGACATGGGGGACTGGGTGGCCGCATGGGATGCGCTACTTGGAGCACGTCCACCCATTCTTCGAGTGGGTATGGTTAAATACTCTTGGTTTGAGGAGCAGTACAGAGGGGAGGATCCCGAGACCGATGGGAGGGTAGAGCAGTACGCCAGGGGCTTCCTCCTATTCCTTTTCGGTACCACCTTGTTTTCGAACAGGTGGAATACCGTGGGTTTGTACTTCTTGGGCACTCTGGTGGTACTCCAGCGGGTCCGTTTCTACGACTGGGGCGCGGCTGGCCTCACCACTCTTTATGGATACATGAGCTCCACCTCTAGGATGCGTGGGAGGTTGATCGGCGGCTACTGGCGAGCTTGGGAGGTACACAACCTAGTTTCCCCTTTTCATTGCTTTACTTAGCATTTGTACATTTGCTTTGTTCAGCATTTGTACTCTCTACTTTTGCTGTGTCTGCTCTTGCACTGTATGCTTTCTACTTTGCATTTTCTGTACACTATACATGCTGCACACTTCATACCATACACTGCACACACAAGATCTAATGTCCGCTCTAGGCCTGCAGCCCTTTTTCATTGCACTGTATCTTGTTTCCGGCATGTTCAAAAATCTGTTCATACACTGTACTGATCACATCTTTCTAATAGCTATGGGTATACGCATACTTCCCGACACTTGCTCCAGAGCCTATGGAGGAGACTGCAGCGACGGTCCCATTCTCTGACATATTTGACGGTCCGCTCCGTCGTAGGATCCGAGAGAGCTTCATGTTCTTTCGGCAGTACTTCGACACGGTCATGGCGCGCGAGGTAATTCTGCAATGAAATTGTTTCATTTAACCCCAATGTACCCACTTTGGTTATTTGACAACTGATCACTTTGTTCGTTCTCTTTTCCCAGATTACATGGCGGCCATGGGATGCGATTCCTTCAGGGCTCCGGGACTAGTACCACACCACCCAGACTATGTCTCATTACTACATCCTCTTCGAGGGGCCGATCTGCCGTGCCTGGTTTCTGAGTGAGCGCTTTGTGCGTCAGACTTTGGGAATGCCTGCTCCATTTGTGCTGATGGCACCTCCACCATCGATGAGGGAGACACACAGGTTGTCCGCCGACCAGGTGATTCAGTTCATGGTAGGACTGGAGACGGAGTACTTCCGCGCAGAGGGCGACTACACGACCATTATTCGGACGCATTTGATGCCACCTTTGACTGGTGTTTGAGGAGGAGAGGAAGCGAGGGCTCCAGCTGCGAAAGGGAGAGGTGGAGCAACCAGGTCCCGTGAAAGGAGAGGTCCTGAGGGGAGACAGGGGACTGCATGGCCCGTACTGCCTACTACTATGACATGCCGAGGGCGGGCTGGAGAGACTTATCAGATTCCATTCGCTCCTCCTCCAACTGGTCATGAGCTTGTCGGAGTTTATGGTTCGACCCCGGTATGCACTATACTCTTCATTTTGCACAGTCATTTTGTTTGATATCTTGCAGGATACTAATGACTTCAACATTTTTGCAGGCTCCCATTGAGTACACTCAATAGTCTTTGGAGATGACGGCTTCGATGATGGGGATGTTGCAGACGAGCATGGACCTGCTCAGTATTTACAATATTCCGGTGAGTTCTTTCAAACTACAGTTCATGCCACTCATTTGCACAGTTGCACACTACACTGGTCTGATACATTGCTCCCATACACTGCTCACGATACACATTCACTTCAAATCATTTACTGCTCACAGCACATTATTCTTGGCATTTGATACATCTTGATTACTAATGCATTTTGGCAGATTGCCCTTTTTCAGATTCCTTTCTTGACGCCAGGCCCATCAGGTGCCTCAGCAGGAGCAGGAGCGGGTCTTTCAGCACCTCCCCGAGCAGCAGAGGGAGCGGAACGAGGGACTAGTTCACGAGGGCCTGCCCCAGATGATGACGAGTCTGACGAGGAGGCAGTTAGTCCGCGGTCAGAGTCTTCTCAAGATGGAGATGGAGATGAGGATGACTCAAGTTCAGAGTTAGGTGCTGATGGTGGCGATATTCCAGAGTCCTCTCGGTCGAGGAAGAGGATGAGGAGGACCTCTTAGTCTTGAGGCTATTGGCGCCGATCCAGACATTTTACTGATTCAGACGTTCTTCTTTTGTTTTATTTTTCTTTTTACTAGTAGTTTTGCACATTGTACTGCGTCAGGCAGATTTACTTTTTTAAAACTATGCTCTTTTGTAAAAAGAATCTATGATGGAATGAAAACAGCCTTTTGTTGAAAAAGTGTTACATTTGTACATTCTATGCATCGCATCGCATCGCATCACTTTACTCAACAATGTAAATGAGATGAACTTTTGTTTTGAAAACCAACCACTTGAATTGCACTAGTCAGGTAGTGAACCGACTAACAACAAAACAACTCGATAAGCAAAACAAAACCTTAACACGTTTACAACTCGATAAGTAAGTTACGACAACTCGATAAATGAAAGGAAGATGATTACAACCTGACACAGAAAAAAAAACTAATACGTCTGAAATGAGACACAACAGAGTTTAAAAGAACAAAATAAGGCCTTAAAAGGCCTAGGTAACAGGACTTCACTATAGCAGACAACTGGGTCTTCACCAAGAAGGCCAGTGGGAATGAGGGAGAGACTACCGGCCACAAGGGGAGGCCTGCCGGCCATCAGTGTGCCACTGCCGGCCACTGATGAGCCACTGCCGGCCATTGATGGCAGACTCTCCGAAATGTTGACATCTGTCCTCCACTCACTGCCTTATCTTCTATATGAGTCCCAGCTTCAGGATTCTCTTCATTTCAGCTCAAATTTGCACCAAATGGAAGCATGCCTTGCTCAAAACCTCACAAATTAGATTGCCAACTTAGATGGCTCGGAAAAGCTTAATTCCGAGGTTTTGGCATAAGTGCACTGTTCACATTGAGTCGCACCCCGCTGTGTTTTCCATTTCTTCATGCTGCGGCGAGATTTTGGAATCCGGTGACACGCGTCTTTAGCTTTGGCAGGCGAGAGCTGTGTCCCACTTTTGAAGACTTTCAAGCTTTGATGGAATCCGAGCGCGATGAAGAAGTCTTGCCACAATTCCGCTTCAGCCATGTCCAAGCATTGGGGCGGATGTGTGGACTCACTTTACAGGATGCTCGATCATTGATTCATGATAGAGAGTTAGACATTTCGAGCTTGGTTTGTCGGTTTTCCGATGCCGGTGACCGCGACGACCATCATTGGCGGCATGCGCTTTGCTTGTGCATGTTATCTCATCTCTTACTTACCCCGGGCTCCGGTGGGTTTAGCACTTGTTTGATTAAAGTCGCCGAAGGCTTAAGAGAAGGCAAAAGTTGCATTGCCATGACGCTAGCCGAAACGTTGATGGGATTAGATGCTTTTCATCGCCGAGACACGGCTAGGTTTGCGGGGAGTCCACTACTATTACAGGTAATGTTTCCCGCCCTATCTCACATATATATTGCTCACATCACTCGGCCCTCAGGCTCGGTTTTTCTCTCAAAACCGTTTTCTTACTTTTCTCAAAACGTACACCTCTCTATTCTTTAATCTCTTATTTTTCATCCCTCCCCAGATATGGTTGATGGACAAGTTGAAGATTGTGGACCCCCGCCCCGCATATTCAGCTCGCAGCTATTTCTTTCAGCGACGTCTGGTCGATGCCCCTGATGAGGGATGGTGGTACGACTAGATGTGCAACTTATCTGTTATTGACATTGCTTGGCGCTGTCCCTGGCTCAATCTACCGACAATGACCTACAGCATGGGCTGCCAGCCCGGGATCCAATTGGTTAGTTTGACACACTGCGTGTTCTATTTTCCATTCTGATTCCGGCGCCAGTTCGGACATGATCAGACTTGCCCAGAGGAAGGGATAGAGTACCCTGCTACATTCCCGATCCGAGGCACGCAGCTAGCTCTGTATGCTACAGCCTGGAGGACAAGAGAGCTTTTGGCTCCTGCTCCCGCTTTCAGTTGCACCCTTTCTGATGAGTGCCTAGATTGGCTCAATGAAGAGGCACATGTAGGGCCCACTTGACATCAGAGGTTTCCACAAGCTCTGGGAGGGGACGCAGGAACACCTAACTATGCCCCGGATTTATTTTGCTTTATCAGTACTTTCAAGTTTTCTTTATGAATGTAATAAAAAGCAACTTCAATTTGTATTCAAGAGTAGGAGAACTCTGTATTGAAATCAATGAAATTGAAGGTTGTGGGTACTAAAAATTTTCCGTTTGGTCCAAAAATGGTCTGAGTTGTAAAAAGATAAATTTGAAAAAAATTAACTTTTATTAAAACTTTTCAAAACCATTTTCGATATGGATCAAAACTGGACATGCCCGAGATCTATCACTGAGATGTACAACCCTGGATTCAAAACAATGGAAAATTGCCCCTTGTGTAAATGGCACTGCACGGCAACGGAAAGTTGCCTCTTGTTTGAATAGCACCGCAGCACACTGAACGACAACGGAAAGTTGTCCCTTGTTTGAATAGTACCGCAGCACATTGAAACTAGTTCTCAAAGTGACGATCACAACTGAACTCTCGGATATAGCGAAGACAAAGATGACCAGAACCAACATATGGCCACAATTGATTTGGAAGTGTTTATAGCTGAACTTCAGGATGAAGTTGCCTACGTATCCCAAACATGGGAATCAAGCCTTACGTAGTTCGGGTTGGGTTCACTCGTGTATTTACTTTCTCCTTTTGTGCTCTAACTTTTTCCAAGGTCACCCTTTGCGGGTTTTCAGCCTTGCGAGCTCAGTTTTTGTAATTTCAAATTTTTCATGCTCTAACTTTTGCCTAGGTCGGCCTTTCAGGTTTTCGGCCTAGCGAGCCACTCAGGGGTAATATTTCTTCAACTTGTCCATGTTGATCGGTTGGGAGAACTCCAGGCCATCTAGGTCCATCAGAACGACAGCTCCACCTGACCAGATAGCTTTGATGATGTAGGGACCAGTCCAATTGGGTCTGAACTTGCCCCTAGGGTCGTGGATGGGAGCTCGGTTGTCTTTGAGCACCAAATCTCCTTCTTTCAAATTTTTGGACTTAACTTTCTTGTTGAAAGCCCTGGCGATTCTGCATTGATAACCCTAAACATGGTACAGTGCTTTCAGCCTCCTCTCATCAAACAGCATGAGTTCTTCAAATCTGTTCTGCTGCCAATCTGCCTCAGCTATCTGACACTCAGCTAATACTCGCAAAGACGGAACCTCAACTTCAATAGGAAGAACGGCTTCTATTCCGTAGACTAAGTAATACGGAGTCGCTCCAGTAGAAGTCCGTATGGAAGTCCGGTAGCCCCACAGAGCAAATGGCAACTTATCTGGCCAGTCCCGGTAGGTTTCCACCATCTTCTGCAGAATATGCTTGATGTTCTTGTTGGCGGCCTCAATTGCTCCGTTGGTCTGTGGTTGGTATGTAGATGACTTGTGAAAATCCACGTTGTACTTGTCCAACAAGTCGATCACCTCCTTCTTGAAGTGTGAACCGTTATCTGAAATGATCTCGTTCGGGACCCCATAGCGACAGATGATGTTGTTCCTGATGAACTTGGCGACATGTGATGCCTTCAGTACTGCATAAGATTGGGCCTCAACCCACTTTGTAAAATAGTCTATTGCTACCAGAATGAACTCATGCCCATTGGACCCTTTTGGAGCTATCGCTCCAATCACATCTATTCCCCAGACAGAAAATGGCCATGGTGAAGTCATGTTGTACAGCTTCGACGGTGGACTGTTCGTGCGATTTGCATGGATCTGACATTTGTGGCATCGCCGAACAAAACCAATACAATCCTTCTCCATGGTGGACCAGTAGTAACCTTGTCTAAGGATTTTCCAGGCTAGCATTACCCCGTTCATGTGTGCTCCGCACTCTCCTCCATGGATGGCCTCCATCAGGCGCTTCGATTCTTCAGCATCAACACACAGCTTATGCATTCCCAGATGACCTCTCTTGTACAGTTTACTCCCGCAGATGATGAACTAAGCAGCCATTCTTCGTATTGCCCTCTTATCTTTGGCGTTTGCCGCTGGTGGATACGTCTCTTTCTCTAAGAAGTTCCAAACGTCGTAATACCAGGGGTTCTAATCTTGAACCTCTTCTATAATAGCAATCAGCTCGTAGGCCGGCACAAATTTCTGGTCAATGATGATTGAACGCATCCGGACTCCAAAAGGAATGTCTATCATAGATGATAGAGTTGCTAGTGAATCTACAAACCTGTTGTTCTCTCTTAACAGATGAGCGAAGTTCAGCTTCTCAAACCGAGGGATCAGCAAGTCCAAGGTTTGGTGGTAAATTCTCATCTTTTTTTCTTTGACTTTCCAATCTCCTTTAGCCTGAGATACAACAAGGTTCGAGTCGCTGATGACGTTCAACCGTTTTGCCCTTAGCTCTAGGGCCGCTTCTAATCCCGCAATGCATGCCTCATATTCTGCTTCGTTGTTAGAGACTTTGAACCGGAGTTTGAATGCTAGAGGGATACGAGAATTGTCGGGTGCTATTAGCAACACTCCTATCCCATACCCATATTGGTTTGACGCCCCGTCAAAGTACATCGTCCAAGTTTCATCTTCGACATGCAAAATGGCCTCGTCAAAGTACTCAACTGCTTCATCCCTTTCCACTGGGTGATTGGCAAGAAACTCTGCTACCGTTCTCCCCTTTACTGACTTGCACGTCACATACTTCAGGTCGAATTCGGAAAGCAAAAGCAACCAACAGGCTAGCCTACCCGTAAGTGCTAGTTTCTCGAAGAGATATTTGATGGGATCTAATCTTGAAACCAACATTATCGAGTGAGCTAACAGGTAGTGCCGCAGTTTCCTAGTAGCCCATACCAAGGCCAGACAAGCCTTCTCCAACAGAGTATAGCAGGTCTCGTAATCCAGCATCTTCTTGCTCAGATAGTAGATGGCTCTCTCTGCTTTGTCCTCAGACTCTTGTGCAAGCATGCAGCCCATTGTAGTCTCAGTCTCTGAAAGATACAAAATCAACGATTTTCCCAGCTCAGGCAGTGACAACACAAGTGGGTTCTGTAAGTATTGCTTAATCT